GCAGATAGCTACAGTTGTACGGGACTGGAAATCTCACGCGACATTGTACACCAAATTTTCAACTGGCCAGTGATGAGGCTCCTCATACGGAACTTTGAGTGACGCGTAGGTTCGACAATCCCGAATATCAAAAGGAAGAATTGGGTCCGTAATTCCACGGTACTGTTTACACACAAACAAACGCCAATTGTTCACGTTCGCAGTGTCAACAGGTTCACAGGTCTGTCACTGACCGGTACAGTTCAGTGTCAACGCCGCACACCCTACGACGGCGAGCAGAATGATGACTCAGTAGCATGGGTTGCGGTCGTCCCTTCCGACGACGGTTTCATGATTCTCATTGGACGTGCGATCACACGGAACTCATCGGAAAACAAGTCAAGGCAGGCTAAGCAAACGGGGAATGGGCGCCCATGGTTAAGTAGGTCATCAGCGCACACTCACACACAGACACACGGCAGTACACAAGTGTCGGACAGGACGGTCTCTGCGGCAAGGTGAGTGGCGGGTACGGATAGGCAAAACAACTGGAGATCAAAAGTACATAAGCGGAGCAAGCAAATGAATGGGGTGATTATCATAAGGTCAAGCTAGATTCAACAGCCAGCCTGTTGTCACTTCCTAGCCAGCTTGCAGACCTAGAAACTTTTTATATTGATTTGCTGAACTTGCGTTGGGTGAGATTAGTAAACGATAGTAGACCATCTCATTACTGAATATTCATAGGTTCTCACCTCATGGTTGCTCAAAAGTTTGCGCGATTTGCTTTCATCCATCTTTTCTATAGACTTTCCACCAGCTTCCGCCTCTTCTTTTTCTCTCTACTTTGGCTTTATACACCGGCTTTCTCATAAAAATCTGTCCGCCAGAAAACTTCAGTGAGTTGGGGAGTCATTAGGTGTATACCGTCGATCTGCCATTAACTCCCAAGTTAATGGTTTGGTTCGGAGTGTAGTCCGCTATCACCTACCATTTCCTTGAATGCGTTGTCTAACAACAATAACATACAGATATCATCACGTAATAATCGATTCTGTGGGCTCACTGTTTTCCGCTCTAAAGATGCCCCATTTGACCGCTCTTGTCAGTGTTACGTTAAGCCCACCACAAAACATCATTGCACTTCAATCAAGGTGGAGGTGTCCGGGACCTTTAAACAGCTTCACGGTCGTCATGAATAAGAGTGACTATCTGAAAAAGTTAGACAACACCTAGCTGATGGGCCTTATCAATAAATCGGCAACGAGAGGATTACGTCAATAATGAGTAGGAGTAAGGTTGATGTTGGAAAGTATTTTAGACCGATGGTAAATCATCTGGGGCAAGGCAGTGGTATCGATTGTACTCAAAGCGTGGGCTATCTAAAGTTCACAAAGAAGCTGTCCCCATAAGAGTAATAGTTGTGGATGACATATGTTCACCACCACTTGAGCTCGTCAAATTTCTGGCAGCCATCCTTGAACCAGTTACCAGCAAGTCACCCACACACATCAAAAATACGTGTGCCTGCAAAAAATGTACTGGGTTTCAGTTATAGCTAGATGAATTTCTTGTTATCTTCGATGTCAGCTCCATGTGTAAGGATGTCCCTAACGTGGACGCTCTGGAAGTAGCGAGAAGGTTGTTACTGGCAGACACAACATTGCATGATCGAACGCAGCTGTGCGTAGACGAGTTGGTTTAGGGTATGAAGTATATTTAAACTTTAGTCCTTCACCTCTTGATTCAGTTATATTATTATCAAGGACAAGGCCTAGCAATGGAATTTCCAGTACCCCCAGATTTTCGCTGACTTTTACTTGGAGTACTTTGAACAGAAAGCTTTAAATGGATTCGAATATCCACTGAGGGTTTTCTGACGTTACGCAAACGAGGTGTTCGTTGTGCTAAAGCACGGTAATTTAATAATTTTTTTAACATCTTGACAATTTGACCCTCACAGCATGGAGCTGGGGTCCACGTCGGATACACTATCGTTCCTTGACAGGACGACACACAAGAGTGGTGGGAAATTAAAAACAGGCAGTGGTGCGGCCTTAAATTTTGACTTACACATCAGCACATTCAAAGACAGTGTCTCTTAATATGGTTGCAGACATACTTAGTAGAGTAGGAGAACTGTGTGCAGGGAGGTCGACCGAAGAGCTACACGACCTGAGGTAAAAGAGCGACTTCACGAAAATGGATACCTATTGGGTCTACCTAAGGGGCAACTAAGACTCAACACCAAGATTCAATAGGAGTGGGTCGAAGCGTCTATGATTCCATACAAAATGGGGATACCTGAAGTCATTGTAAGGCTGGCTAACATAAAGGTAGCATTCCATAAGGTAAAAACCTTACGCTCAGTATTGGTGCAGTCGGAAGATCCCTTTTCGGTTAATAAGTTTAGGGACTTATTTTACTAAATAAGGTACACTGACAGTAAGAAGGTTTATATATATCAAAGAACCAGGGAATGGCTCAGCGGAGTCGGTGAGCATAGGCCAGGTAATAGTCAAAAATCCATCAAGAGCAGTGCACACACTGAACACTCCGAACAGAACAGATGTAGAAAACGTTTTGAGGGGGGACTAAGCTTCACACCACAGCGGTTGGTGTCCAATGTGGCGAAAGCTTCCCAGTGTGGATACAACAGAGGACTGAAATCGGCGAGCCTGTGGACAGTGGCTTCAGATCAGTCTAGGTGACAAGTGGCTATGTTGTTATCAGAAAAATGGTTTGCGTTTAAAAATACAAAAATACAAGCGTAGTAAGTGCTACTTAACCCCTCTCCCAACCCCAATACGGTTGTCCTGAAACCCCTCGGCTCACATGGAGCAACGAAATCTATGATCGACACCCAAGACGAATATTACAGCGGGGTATCCTAGACCGTAAATCCTGGGCCTCGAAATCCTGATTCAACCCGAAAACAAACTCCCCAACCAATATGTCGGGTTATTCGTCCCCAGTGAGCCAACAGATGGGAAATTCATACTAACAGCTGGCAGTGATCGAGTCGGCCAGTTGTAAGAACTATCAAGATTTGGCTCTCTGACTGCCTTTAAACCAGACAACCCGGTAGCATACTCACTTGGCCTGATGAAACTTCTGTGTCCAAAGCGAAACTGTACCCAGTAATGAATCCATCGATTCTTTACCAAACCCCTCTGAAACGATAATAATGCTTTATTGTCTGACTTGGGCATGACTGATTCAACACCAAAGTTTCCAAAGTGGTTAGTTAATTTTTGTCGTTCATTCCGGTAACAACGTCATCACGGCACGTGTGTGAGGTTTTTGTTTCTGGTCAGTTCAGTGTAAAATTGGGTGTGATGATTACGATCAAGTTTTGTCAGTAATCTCTCAAGGAAACCATATTTCCGAAATAGGCTTTCCCATACACACCGTACTGCACCGGTATTACTATATAAAGTATAATGTGCACTACCTAATTGTTTTCGTCACAGCTCCACCAGCACCTCGTGATGTGTCGGTCAAAATTGTTGCTGACAAACCAATAGCAGAAGCAAGTTGGACACAGAAGAACTCATCGAATTTCACGGTCGCAGTCTACAAGGGAAATAATACAATCACAATCCAACGCACCAGCAATGTTCAAGCAATCCTCAGCAACCTTCCAACAGATGTGCCTCTCCAGCTGGGCATCAGGGCTCACAATCTATTCGGGGACAGCCCTGAAAGTCGAACCACAGAATTTCGTATCCCCGCGAGTAAGATGGCATAGGCATTTGTCTTGATATTTTGTTATTAAATACCAGATGGTAAGTGGAGTCACTTTTGGACTTGGCAAATATCTGTTTCTTCTTTCGATCTATGTTATAGGACCACCTCGCTCAGTCAAGATGTTGACCGCCGGCAAAATGGTTACTAATCCACTCAAGATGTTTCAAAGATTAACAGAATTGATGGGGTCAACAATGAACGGCTTGCTCGTTTGAAAGACATTTCAAAGAGGTGGTTCTATTCCATTCTGGACGTGCATACGTGTTGGAATCTTCGCCTGAACTCTTCCACCCCAGTAATAACATTCATGTTACTCACTGTTTAATGAACATTTTCACTCCAAATATCGAATTTGTCCTTTCGTTTATTCGCCTAATTCTTGTTTTTTTCATCAAAAGTTTCCTTTCTTCTTTGAACGGGGAATATGTGGGGAAGACATTATCTTTTGTCACAGTGAAAGACCGATTAGGTGACCTACATTGTCTTTTTTTTCATGTTTCCTTTCTTCTTTGAACGGGGAATATGTGGGGAAGACATTATCTTTTGTCACAGTGAAAGACCGATTAGGTGACCTACATTGTCTCATAAGGAATCAGATGGATCATTTCCAGTAAGCCCGCCACCTGCGTGCGCGAAAAGTTAAGCCCCGACACTTTTTACCAGCCCAAATTTAATGTATGCACAAACCTTGACCTATTTTCGATTAAAACAACAGTTCCTTATCCGCATCTAGGCTCATTTTGTGCATAATTTTTCTCCGTTCGGACCTTAAATGAAATTTCCGACGCTTTTAAATCTCGTTCATGACAAGGAGACGGTAATACGTTTTTGCAAAGTCATGGAGTGATCCATCAGTAACCTTTACGCAAAAATGGCCACCAAATGACACTCATTTGTTTCTTAGAGGTGGAGGCGTAATGCCGGACAGTGTCGGCAAGAAGTCAGTCTTCGAAGGGGAACTTGGCTGGAGCGAGCGGGGGTGGGTTTAGGACAGTAATTCTATTCATTCATTGCTGGTCCGAAAATTTGGCAAAAATCAAATTCTGCTCAGAGGAATTATCTATTAGCCACACGACCGCTGCTGACTGGAAGAAATTTCTTCGCGAAGCTTGCGCCTGGCGGCTTTTGAAGACTCCAACAGCTATCGGCGGCCCAGGTCTACACGTCGAGATCGATCGAACGCTGATATCTCGCCGTAAAACCACACAGGGCGCGTCCTTCCCAAGTAGTGGATTTGTGGAGGGATCTGCCGGGAAACCAAAGAGGTGATCATGTACGCAATGCCAGATCGAACTGCGGCCACTTTGATGGAAAAAATTCAGGCCTGCATCACCTCCGGCTCAATCGTCATCTCCGATATGTGTACAAAATTCATATCCTCTTTTTTCTAAAATTCTTTGGCTGGCGGGTTTAATTTTTTGATGAGACTGATCTGGAAAATATAAAATCAGATCTAGTACACTTCGGTCTATCCAGACCTCAAACACGATAAGAAATTTGGCAAAATTTGCGGCACTAGGTGAATCGATGAACAAACGAGA